AAGCTTTAGTAAATAAATGATATATTTATATTTGAATGGAAATAAACAGAAAACTTATGTTAAATTAATATTTTGTCATATTATAAATGCAAATAAATGCAGCTTCCAGCAGATAAACAAAATTCCTACTGACCTCCAAAATCGTGTACTGTAAATTATTTTAGTATTTAAATATATAACAATTGTATCCTACTTGTGCTCCGGTTTCCCCCACAGTCCAAAGACATGTGGTACAGGTGAATTAAGTAGGCTAAATTGTCCGTAGTGTATGAGTGTGAATGAGTGTGTAGAAATGTTTCTCAGAAATGGGTTGCAGCTGGAAGGGCATCCGCTGCGTAAAACATATGCTGGATAAGTTGGTGGTTCATTCCGCTGTGGCGAACCCAGATTAATAAAGGGACTAAGCCGAAAAGAAAATGAATGAATGAATGTATCCTAGTTGTCAAATGTAAATTTGGTAGAGTGGAACATACCTTTATCTTTCCCAGTAGAGATGCATTTAAAGTTAACAATACGCAGGTCGAGTCCTTCCTGAAGCCAGATCCGATCCATAATCCGAATCATCTGTAGTGCCAACATGTCCTGCCGCAGGTCTTCTCCAACCTAAAACACAGATATATAAAGATTGAGTTGGTGAGAGATCAAGCATTCATCAAAAAAACTAAAAGAAAGAATTTCTAAAATGACGAAGCAGAAATTACTGTCAAAAGACATAATACCATTTTCATATAATACTATAATAGTCATAATACTTTTTCTCTTAATGTTTGTGTTTACACTACTGATAAAACCACTAGAGGGCATGCTCATGAGATGAGGATTTAAATATTTTTTCTTTTCTATATATTTTTTTCAGAGCGGCCTACTTTCAAAACTTCAGTCAATCATGCATGTTTAGAGTTTGAGTTTAATAGATGATCCCACCATAGCAATTAATATACAAATAACCCAAATGCTGTGTAACTACTGTCAAACTAACATAATAGTCCATTCTACCTACAGAGGACCTTTAACACACCTTAAACATGACGTTAATCTCATCTCCCAGCGGATCTGCGTTAACCAGTGCGATCTTTAGAGGTACAGCGTTGGAATTGAAAAAGGAGCAGACCTAGTTTCAAAGCAAAGGAATGAAAACAAGAACCACATTACAAAAGCATCAGCCTGAGGGTTTTAGATTCAGATTTTCGGATTCAACATGGTAACACAGAGGGTCTTTGAAAATAAAGGCAGCCCTGACTGAAAGAAAAGGAGTTCAGAGACACCGTTAAGGCTTCGCTGACTGTGCAGATCGCTATATCTGAAACAGGAAGAGAGGGGGAGTGAGCAAGGATAATATGGAAGTGAATCACATGTGAATGTTTCTCAGCAAAGCGGAACACAATCTGGCATGAGAACTAGAGAATTCAGCCTCCTAGCTGTGTGGATCTTGAGAACCAATAAACATTTCCTGAACACTATAAGAGTTGTGCAGAAATTATGTAAATTTAGAAAGAATGAGTTTCCTTGAGATTTTCTTTATAGGCTTTTATAATGGGAGCTTTCAGTTAATGAGTAATACAAAAGTCTCAGTTAAACATAACTTGAACGGTAGTTGAATGTTTGTTCTACAACATAAACTGCACTGACGTTTCTCAAATGTTCTGATCTAGTTACTTATTAAAAACATAGGTTTAATAAAAATGTTTAATCAAAATTAACGTTCTGGATATGAGTGTAGTTGTGTGTTATTTCCCATAACTAAAGTTTTCAGAGTTTTTGTTTGTTTTGTTTTATTTGTATCTTTGGATATTTTTTACCAACATCAGGGTCCGTTCTTCGAACCTCTCTTAAATGATCCAAGAGGATTTGACAGATCCTGGATCTCTTAATTTTGATAACTGATCTCTGGCTTATTTGGTTTTTCAAACAAGTTTGCGAATCAGATAAAAATGTCTGGATCAACTGATCTGAGATCACTGCGTGTGTTGTATAGGACAGATCTATCTATGATCAGCAATGTAAATGATTGGTTGACGGCACAGCCATCAGCCAGAGTCATGACATCATTTGATTAATATTCAATTATCCATGAGCAAAATTACATAAAACTCGTAGTTTGTTAAATATGATACAAAATAACTTTTCAGATTTGTTGTGGTCTGCTGTCTTTACACTTTCATGTGTCATGAGTATTTAATTTATTTAGTTTTACTTTTAGAGCAGATTTTCTTTATTATAGTAGCCTAGGCCTGTTCAAGTTGCTTAATCTGCATAAGGAATAACTGGCTGTTTAAAATAATTTTGCATCAAAAAAATTTTATATTAGTAAAGGCATCTGCAACTTTTGCGAAGCATCAACACACCATCATATTACCTTTCAAAACATGTGCATGACTGTATAAATTACTATTCCTTTAAAAAATAGTATGTATGTTTATTATCATACACAAATTATACTAAATATAGAACCTTAAAATCGCATGAGTTTGCATCTAATAATTATATTATTATGGTTATTATACATATTAATAATACATTAATAATTAATATAGATTATTATACATATTAATAAATTTTCTCTTTGAACCCCTTGGGGAGAACCACCCCAGTCTCAGTAATTGTACTTTTATTTCGGAGTGCAGTTTTATTTTACTTTTTTTTATTTTATGTATTATTATTTTTTATTTATTTATTTTTTGCTATATATTTATATAATTTAAATATTTACTATTTTCCCAAGTGTATTTAACTACTACTGTAAAAAAAATATTAGCATTTGGTACATACTTTCAGTATTACCTTTTCTTGAAAAGACCCAATCTAATCCTGTTATACTGTATAAAATGAGCCTGCTTCCGAGCAGGTTTGAGCTACCAGAACTGTTTGACATCAACTCTCAGATAAGTTTTGAAGAACGAAACGAAACGATCCTGGATCATGTCAAATCGTCAATAACCAAATCCAGCTAACTGAGTAATCCACATACGAAGAACAGTCCCCAGGTACAATTTAATGTCAAAAGATCCTTCACAAATATATTTATCAGCAAAAACAATGACTCGTTCTACATTTATTTGACTAAATTTCAAACTTAAAAAGCTGTAAAAATGTTAAAGTATTGTCAATTTTTGCTTACTACAGACATTACATTACTCAAACTGAAAAACCATTAAAAAAACTCTAAATCTCTACATTATTTTTCAGTTTCATTTAAACAGCTCTCTATACTGAAATAACAGGTTGATCAGGGTCAGTTTGCACTCACCTTGATATTGAGCTCTTTTGCCACCAGACTGGGGCTAATAGGGAGTCGACAGCTGTTCTTCTGGAAGAAAGACTGAACCCTCTCTAGACCCTCGAGGAGAACCACCTAAAAAGAACAAACACTGAGATTGAAAAATGAAGCAGCGCAAGACTGCATCTGGATTTCCTCAACCATAGAGCACCACAGAGACGATTAGAAAACAAAGGCTTTTAAATAAAAAATAAAAAAAAAGCTAAATATTCTTAATTCTTGTTTTGATTTAGGTCACCAAGAAATGTGAACTTACACATGCACACAGTGTGTGGCAATTCAAATCCTTGACATTTACAATACAGTATAGTTGAGCAATATTACAAAATCAATAACAGATATGATATTGATTACAAGAAGTTAACATTTAACGTTAACTGTTAACAAGAAGCTGACTTCTGAAATCCAGAAGAGAAATGTTAGTGCATCTGAGCAACACTTCTTTCTTCAAGAAAAATGACTTTAAATGAAAAGTGTGAAAAGAAGTCCTTTCTCGTGTCTAAATGAATGACCATTTGGAAGACATTTTTTGAATTAACAATTCAATCAATCACTCATTAAAAGAGAGACTTGCCACCACATATTGGCTGATTTTGTGTCCCATTTTACTAATATACCAATTTATCTACACATTTATCAAATATACACGTTTATCTAATATGTACTTTCACTAAAATTATCATGTTAGAATGTACAAACTGTGTAAATACATGCTTTTACTTTGTACTGATGAATTGATGATTTATTACCTGCATGTAATTACATCGGTAATTACTTTCTTTAAATACATTTGTAATTACACCGTTGACCCACCCTTAAACCTACCCATTCTACCAAACCTGTCCCTAACCCTACCTGTATCCCACTACAAGAGCACCAAACATCTTCTGCAATACGTTATTAAGTACATTGTATTGTACAATGCCCCCCTAATAAAAAGTGGGACTAAATGTTTTGTACAATGAAGTTGTAAAATTAAAAACAACACTTTGCGCTTTTTTACTATTGCACTTCATTATTGTTAGTTTTTGTTTGCAGAAAAAAAAAATTTATTCCAGGCATTGAAAAACAAAAATCATTGAATAGAAATCCAGTGACTTCAGACAATGAAACGGGAAGTACAAAAACATTCAATAGTTTCTTGGAGTCATTTCCGGAGAACTCCATTTAGCCAAGACAGACAAAGAAATAATGCAATAAAATGTGTTTACAAGTTTAGTAATTAAAAGCTTTCCAGAGCTATCCATTTGTATTTAAACCACTTATACACATGGGAGACATAAGTTGAGGCACTATAGGACCAAAAGTATGTGGCCCACCCCCTTCTAATAGCATGCTTGGCACAATCCTTTAATTCCAGGCAAGACAGATCTTAATGCTACAGAATACAATGACACTCTTGAGAATTACGCATATCCCACTTTGTGGCAGCCATATGGGAAGGACTGTTTTCTATTCCAAAAAGAAAGCACAAAGTCAGATGCTAAGCAATTTACTGGACTCTTCAAAACACAAGTCTAAACACATTTGGAATGATGCAGATAAAGTGCTGTCGTGAATGGTTCCAATTTCAGAAATAATGGTTAAGTTTAAGGTATGCTGTATTGTGCCTGAGGGAAATTTGTTTCAGGATCTAAGGTAAATGTACCAAATCACATAAAAACAAAACATTAATTTTACATAATATTTTGTGCTGAGCAAAGATTATTCATTCATAAATTTTTCATTCAGCTTAGTCCTTTATTTATCAGGGGTCACCACAGCAGAATGAACCGCCAACTTTTCCAGCATATGTTTTAAGCAGCAGATGCCCTTCCAGCCAAAACCCAGTACTGGGAAACACCAATACACTCTTGCACTCACACATGCACTCATAAACTACGGCCAATTTAGATTATCCAATTCACAGATAGCCGATATATATATATATATATATATATATATATATATATATATATATTTAGATATTTATTTAGATAGATATAGATATTTAAACTTCCACATAAGTTGTTCTGATATCCATTTATATCTAAATATAAATAAGGTGTCTCTTAAATATATGCATGCATGTGTGTATTTATGCATACTTAAAATATGTGTGTGTGCTGTGTATATTTATTAAGTCAAAACAAACTTTTATTTTGGATGTAATTAAATAACAAATTTTTGCCCAGCACCAATAATATTATTAAAACTGCAGTTCTCTAATAAAATTCTTGACATGTCTGTATAGGTGTGGCATTTGGGTTGCCATATATTTGACATATAGAGTATCCTGCTAAGTTAACATGATATCAGTATTGACTGGATGAGGCATATGGTTCAAGGGTTCATCCACTGATCCAAAAATCAGTCACGCTTGTGAGAAAAATACTTGTAAATGTTTTGCTTGAAACTTTGTTGAAACCCCAAAGAAAAGAAAAACGCAGAAAAGCAAACATGAGATTCCTGATATACTTATGCTTATGTTTATTCAGATCATGTTTTGAACAGCATTATTCAATTAGATTTTGGAACTAGGAGCAATTTAGAAATTGTTTTTCTTGTTTCCCAGAAGTCTTTGGTTTGGACTCCTCAGTATATACTGGTTATAAAAAACTAAAACAACAAAAAAGCAGCAAATCTATTTAAAAAAAATTGTTGAATATTCTATTCATCAAAATCAACACCAAAAAAGAATAAATAAATAAAAAGCACCAAAACAGTATATCAGAACCTAACTTTTGAACAGTATTGTAGACATGTAAATGTTAGAAATAACATTACAAAATACAACCACAATTCCCACATTAATTGTAGAGTAGACCTGGTTTACCTGTCGGGTTGAGCTGCTCGCCTGCCGAACCTTTTCAGCCAGAGCTCCAAGCAGCTGCACAAGTCGGGTCTGCTTCTCCAGCTCAGCCCTCAGTCCGGTCCCACACAGACACAGCAGCACACAGAGGATCCGCTCATAACGCTGACCAAACGCCGGGTCCTGCACTGCATCCCTCAGCAGCCTATGCACAAATAGACACCCAGTAAATGTGAAAATCAACAAGGACTCTTACACTAAAAACAGTATGACTTCACTGTGTAATATTACATAATTTAACACCAAAATTATTTTGTACTTCATTTCTTTCATCAGTTTTGTTCTTCTGTTGAAAATCTATGCAATTTAAACATTTACACAATGTAAAAGTAAGGAACAAAAATAAACAATACTGACAAACGTATTTCGAAGATTTATTCAAAGATTTTAAATGTTCGAAAGTTTTGATTTTGTAGACATTCAATATAGATTAAAAACAATTGGAATACTGAATCCTAATTTGCAATTTAAATCAAGTTTATTTATTTAGCACTACTTAAAACAATTATTGTTTCAAAGCAGCTTTACAAAAAGGTGCACATTATTGCATTACATTCAAAATCAGAAAGGTTAAGGCTATTCGTAACCATAACTTTAGTGACTAGTAACTAAATAGCTTTTACTGTTAAAGTTATTATATATAAACATAGATAACCTGCAGTTATGTAGTATACAGGTAATGTTTATGTGTACATGTTCAATAAAGTGTATTTGTGTATTAAGTGTATGTGTTGTCCTCAAAGTCTTCAATGGCTAGTATCATTTGCGTTTGGAAAGGTCAACTAAAATCTTTTAGGTACAATAGCATACATGTATACCATATTTAAAATAACAGCTTTATATTGTCTATAAAAGCAGGAAATTTGTTATTTATTTATTTATTTTTTTGAAATTGTAAAACTAACAATTATATATTTGAACGAAACTTTACCAGTAAAGATAATGTGCAATGTTGACATTTCCCAGAGCTCGAGACAGCAGAAACTTCACCAAGGCATTGTTAAGGTGACACTCGAACTTCACTGCCTGCAAACAAAAGCAGAAACCAGTTCAACTTACTTGATTAACTACACATTCATAAAAAGTGCACTTAATTGTACGGAATGCAAACTTAGAGTTTAATTCAAAGTATGACAATCTACACACAATTCTTTATGCAGAAAATATGAAAAAAAGAAGATACACTTTGACCGATTCTTAAATTAAGGCATTTTAATTTAGTGCTCAGTAGTATTGGCAGATTTAAAGTATATTTGAAACTATTTAGTTTAAATAAGTTAGTTAAAATAAGTGTATTTAAGTACTCATATTTAAAATTGTTGACAGCACATCGAGATCATATGCGCACCTCTGTTCACGTAGATCCACTGATGCGCGTGTATGCGTGCCACAGTTTTTTATTCATCCAAAGCTTATATAGATTTTTTTTGTTGTTACAAATGAGTTATATGCACTGAATTGTTGACCAGCCACTGAAATCTTCCGGCGAAAGATTGATGTGACTATTTTGAGTTTCATAAGGGACCTTATAAAGCATCCATAATGTAGATTGTCATTTAGTTTACCAACAAAAGTTCCATGTACACATTTTTTAATGTGTACATGGAATTTCGCCTGTGTTATGGTACCTTGTTGTAATTTTAGTTTCATTAATGGGATAATGAAGCTGAGTCTGAGTCTGAGTCAAAACAGAAATAAGTAGTGCTAAAAATGATCCACCACTTACTTGACAGATTTATACATTTAAAATTTTGGTGGTTTGTGTAATGCGTTTTATGTTTGGTAAAATACATTTTAACTGCATCTTTATTGATTTTCAGCTAATTACACTGTCTTGTTCTAAAAGGTGGATTTAGAGGTGTTTGCAAAAAAAAAAAAAAAAATGCACTCGTGAATTTAGCTGGTTTTGACAAAAGAAAATCTACCTTGTTAAAAACCAAAGAATTGTCTAAAGTGACATTTATGAAAAAAAGCTATTTTATTTACTAGCTGATAACCTTATCTATAAAATGAAACATATGAACCTAATTATAGGAGCCTGATAGAAAATGCTTATTTACAAGATAAAAGTTCAGATGGATTTAGAGGGTTTTGCATCTGAACTCTTTATTTATTTATTTTTTTTCACAAATGAAAAATTTGAAGTGTCCTTTAAAATTAGGGATGGAGTTTGAGTAGGGAGACAGAAAATACAGTTTTTACAGTATAAAAGAAGTCAAGTTAAGCTTTATTGTCATTCAACTACATGTGTCTCGCAGTACAAAGGTGCTGAATAAATTAATTAATACAAACACAACATTGGACACAAAAGCTAGTTTAAAAAACCTAAACAACTGACATTTACTTTAAGATACTTAACTAAACACACAAGACAAGTACATACACATACTTTTACATAAGAATGAACAATGTTGTGCAGGACATTGTGCAGGAGAGGTATTAAAGTTGAATATTGGTATTAAAGGTGTATAATGGAAATCTATGGAATGTCTCCTAAAATAAAATGAAAAAACAACATGTGTGTTTGTGTTTGTGTGTGTGTGTGTGTGTGTGTATACCTGCACTAGCTGGGGGAGATAATCAGCCAGCTCATCATCACTGCTGCTCTGGATCCAGCTCACAGCCACTTTCCTCACCTCTGTGTCGGCAAACCTACAGCAAACCAGTCATAAAGCAGGTTATAAAACCAATAAAGTGGTCAAAAGTGGTCACAAGTTTAAAAGTGCAACATTACAACAACTGAAAAGATCATATGACCAAAGTGACACATTAAAAAGATCATACGGATACAATGAGCTTGAGCAATAAAAAATAGGAGATAATAAAATCTAGAGAGAGCAGGTTGGACACATACTTGGATTCAAGGAGCTCAAGAGCTGAAACGGGTGACAGAGCAGGCCAGTGGTGCAGAAGTGCGTGGATTTCCCCCATACTGCCCCAGTCCCAGCTGGGAGCGCTGGCCAGGATTTTCGGCAAACTGTATTCATATTCCCGACAATAGTACCTCTGGTCCCAAAGCAGCTGTCTGTCCGCCCGTGACAGTCTGGTGGAAAAAAACAAACAAAAAAAAACTGCTGGTTAATCTTAAAATTAATAAAATACTTCCAGTGGGCTTCGAACCAACACTCCAGACACTCCAACCTCTTAATCCACAGACCATAAAGAAAGAGTTATTCCTGATCCAGAGATAAGAGGCAAGGGAAACAACTCACACCTCTTAAATGAGTCTGCGAACGGGCAGCCAAAAGCTGTGAGCTTGGCAGCTGTTGCCACTCGGTGGGCATTCAGCAAGCCACGCTCACAAAATGGTCATGGAGAGCAGCCCACCGGCTGAGACTGAGCCTTGTGTGGCTGTTTTAAAGCTGACTGAGCTTTCTGTTCCACATGCGAGACATGCCTTTTCACTAATAAACAACTGTCTGCTTTCCAGCTGAAATATTTCATCATTAGAAAGTCAATCTGATATCACAGACAGTTTAAGTCTTTAAGATTTATTTTCTCGATAGCTTTACAAGCAAACCCCCTAAAATGTGATTCATTTTAAAAACTAAATGGTTCTCTGATACAGTATGACTCAAATTGACCTGTACTCACAAACCAACCAGATCAACTTACTCTTAAAAAGATGCTGTGAATCTTAATGAACAGAAAGATTGTGGATATAAAATCTCTGAATGAACAAAATATAGCTTGTTACTAAAAAATGTTTAATAACTACAACATTTTTATCTCACAAATCTTACACAATTAGGAGTTTACATCTTACAATCCAGACTTTTTTAAAGATTTATATAAGTTAAAATTATTTTTACTCGAAATAGCAGGACATAAACGTGCAATTCCGTGATTAAAGGCAGAATAAACCCTCTGGGGTCTTTGGGTGTTTTGGGGCCCTGGAGAAGTTTTGACATGCACTGACAGTTGTGTTGTTTTCAGTATCTTAAAAACATATGAATGGTTAAAGTGTGATAACACTGTAAACAGCAAAAGTTGGGCTACAATAATACCCAAGCTGAACGTTTGTATTTTTGAGAAAGAAAAGTTTATGCGTGTTTAGTGAAAAACTAAAATTTTTAAGTCACTGAAACAAGGCCGTGAAACACACAGAGAACATTTGTGCACAAGACTTTTGAGAACTGGATCTTGTAGCCTAAAGTTTTTGCTTCAAAATGATGCATCGCGTTCACTTGCTCACAAAACACAATATAATGAATTAAATTTCTAAGTCACTTTTTGAGTGAAAATGGTTTATGCAAGAAGGCGTAAACTATCATTACTATGCAGTGAGTCACACCTGAGAAGACAAAGACCTGCATAATGAGCCGCATAATTAACCATCAGACAGGTATGTGACTAAAGCCTGGTTTATACTTCTGTGTCAAGTGACCGGCGTAACCCACAGCGCATGCAACACGCATAGCTGTGCATTTATACTTCTGTGCGCCGTCTCTATTGGTCTGCATTAACGCTTCCAAAACGCTAGTTGGCAGTGAGGTGTTAATGTGTCTCTGTGTCAAGTTTCTTCGTCTGTGTTTTGTTTTTTCTGAACGCTTCCGGGATGTACAAGTGGCTCAAACTCGCTCATTTTGAGGCAGGAACCGGCGGACGTGCAACAACTTTAACTATGAGGTAAACACAAAACAAGACTCGTCAGCGCTACCAAGCCGACCAATCACAGAGCTTGCGCTACGCGTCGTTGCAACGTGTAGTTACATTTTTTGAGAGGTGCAAGTCAGCGACGCCGATGGCCACGGCGTATGGCTATGTGTCGACGTGCAGCTGCGCCGTAGCATACGTGTGCGTTTGACGCAGAAGTATAAATCAGCTTTAAAAAAAAAAGGAGTTTCAAGAAGGAATCAGAGGAAAGTTTATATACTTTTTAGTTTGCAGTTTATTTAAAATATATTAAATCACACAAAATAACTGCAGATACACTTGTGAGGGGCAGTACACTCTATAAAACTCTGCAAACTTTATTAACTTACATATAGCAAATCTACTGAAAAAGTTATTTGTAAATAAAGAGTTGTGTTGCAAAACGAGATATCCATTTTGAGAAATGTTGGTTATTTGACAATATCATTTAAGACACCAACAGTCAAGTTTATTCACAATTTTAATACATTAAACTATTACTTGAGCTCAGTGAACTCCAGGAACACAATATTCTTCAAATCCAGGATATTTTTTATCAAACTTTGTCCATAAACAATTCATAAATAAGTCAAAAACCATGCCAAACTGCAACATTATCTTTGCATTGTCAAACATCTTAAATTTGTAAAAAAAAAAAATATATATATATATATATATATATATATATATATCTGCGACTGCAGATAATGGTTGTAGTGCGACCTGTTTAGATTTTTCTAAAAATGTGCTGAATTGCTCTTCCTTGCCGCTATATTGGTTTATATAAGCTGTCAATCACTCAAGGTATTCCGCTGTCAGATGACAGGGAAGGAGCTTTTATGACGACGGGAAATGCAAATGGCTGAAGAGTGAAAACTTAAAGCACACAGGTTTGCAAACCCCACCTAAAGTTGAGGCGCAGATGAGAGCGATCATGACATGTGGTGAATAATGATCCGCCAGCTGAGATCAATCAAGTACGTGTTTTCGGAGAAGGGCCCGAATCTCGATGCGTTGCATTCACTGCGTGTTCATCGCAAATGTCCGCTAAAAGTCAAATCTAATACTGTACATATCATCGCCAAAGAAGCTCGCCTTTACTAAGTTTACACTGAAACTGCGGCTCATAACAAACAGCGGTATTGCGCCGGTGGTAATCGCAAAAATCCTGCTCTACCTGAAAATGAAAATCAGCTCAGACTGAACATTTAAATTGACACAAACTGAAACCAAAACTTTTAAAGAGTGATACAAGTGAGACTTTACTTACTTTCTTTTGTCTATTCTTTCTTGAGGTGTATATTATTATTTTTTATTTAGTTACTGATGACTGTTTTGCAGCTTTCAGCCTTGAATTTAATTATTTATTATAATCTTTTGTTTGTTTTGTAGCAGAAATATTATTTATCAAACTGACATGCATATATAAACAGCAGTACAAAATAAATATTTCTTACTGCAATGCTTCATTTTTAATTGATGCAAACTATACATTTATTTTTCATAATTCATTCAAGCACATTTAAGGCAGCATGATGATGGCAAATGTAATTCATTGTTACTATTATTGTCATTTTCAACATCATTAATATTTTATAATTATTTGACATTCATTTTGGAATTATTGCACACAAATATCAATGTCATCTCAGCATTAGTTAGATAGTTGTTTCTGGTTTTTGTTAGTCCTAATTGATGTTGTTTTAAAATACAATAAATCCCTTAAAATACAATTTGCAGCGGTGTTCAATCATTTTTGGTGGGTGCTCCTAAATTTTTTCTGGTGCTCCTAAATTTTTGAAGTTGGGAGCACCGGTGCTACCAAGTAAAAAAGTTAATTTCGAGCCCTGTATATACATATATATATATATATATATATATATATATATATATATATATATATATATATATATATATATATATACACACACATCATAAATATATGGAATAGTAAATACAAAGATTGATTAATAATAATAAGATTCTGAGTTAGTTTTGGTAATCTCATATTAGAGCAATGTTATTTTCAAGAATGATTCATCATGAGTTTCATTGCGCGCATCACAACAGCTTTTGGCGCAAGTTATCATCCTCTCATTCGGTATTCACAGAAATTATTTAAAGAATAAATTTACAAAGGACACTTAGAAATGTAGCAGAAATGTAGAAATGTAGCAGAAATGTAGAAAAAGGCAGTATTTCACTGTAACTCCTAGCCTTCTTCTTGACATCAGCGGAGACTGACAGACGCAGGATTTTTTTTATTTTTTATCTTGGTCCACTTTTGTAGCGTTTTTATACAGTTTTGTGAAGTTGAAGGCTACATCGTCATCTAATAGTTTGTCAGCATGACACAGACCAACATTACTCGCATTACTGAGGAAACTCGGAGCACATCTTATCTACTTAAGCTCTCTTTAGACAATTAGACATAGCATTGGTTTGATACTGATTACTTCATCAAGCAATGTTTGTTTTCAACATAGCTGCATTTAAAAGTAGACACTTCAAGCTTTCTAGAGATACACGTCTCATCTGTTTTTTGCTTTCGTGAAGTTTCAGCAAATTTTTACTGACGCGCTTCTAAAAGCAGTTCACGGAGAGAGAAAAGACAGAATGCCTACGCTGTTTGTTCTCCTTATTTTGCAAAAGCACACACGTTTGTTGTTGGTGTGAGTTTACACAACAAAAAGTAGACACATAACAGATTTGATTGATGTATTGATCTTATCTGTACGATCAAAACTAAAACTGTAATTTAAGTTCATTTCAGCAGTTTGACGATACTACAGATCAAAATACGTATATGCGGTCTTCCACCCCAGGGGGTTTAGGAACAAACACTAAATTACAAGAAAAAAATCTAAAATTGCATATCTTAGTCTCAGAATTGGAAGATAAAAAACAGGCTTCCATATACACAAGAACCTGGTGATGTTTAATGTCAGTACTACTTAATGTATTGTTGAGTTTCCAAAAAAGTTTGAAGCACAACTGTGGTTCAAGTAAGTTTTACAAGTAGTAGTAGTAGTAGTAATAATAATAATAATAATAATAATAATAAAAAGCAAATTGGCATATAACAATAAATTATGAAGAATGTGACACTAAAGTATGGTACTGGAGGATAAATAGAATCTGTAAATTCAGATTTACCATCACAATAATAAAATTTTATTTAAAATATACTCATGTAGAAATGCATCTCGTATAGAAACGCATCTCATATTGCGCATCTCACATCGAAACGCAATTCTCTATCTCTAAAAATACTTTGTAATAATGCTGTTTTTACGGACATTTTTGGTAAAATAAAAAGCAACCTTGGTGAGCAGAAGAGAAAAAAAAACAAAAAAAAAACAGTTACTGCACTTTGTTGTACGCCTAGACCACAGGTGTCAAACTCAGCTCATGGAGGGTCTAGACCAGGACACCCCTGGTCTAGACAGTACTGTATTTGTCAGTGGAAAAACAACTGAATACTGCATTCGGCTGCTGTGTGACCTGTGTTAATAAAGTCAATGATGCTTAAACAAATGTTTTTATATCCTGAAAAACTCAGTCAAATAACTTCAATCCAATTAAAACCCTTAAATGAGATAAGCTGAAGGGGATTCATATAATTGAAGTAACTAGGCAGAACTGATTTAATTACTTTATACTCTGAAAGTCTCCATTATCCTCCCTCTCTCAAATCACGATCAGTTCATCTGCTACTTAGGCTTATTATGGAGTGTCTGATGCTCAAACAAGACAGAACGAACATGGGACTGTTATCATAACAATCTTTCTGATAAGGGAACTTGCCAAAAGCCAGAATCAAATCTTACAACCTGATGCTACCTAAAACTTTCCCCTTCTCTTCTGCAAACAATGGCATTTCCTTCATGTAATGCTAACCTACTTTATTCCATGAGGTCTTTTTCTGATTTAAACTTACCCGAAAGTAGATGCTCGTGCGCACAGCTTTTCTATCTCACTTCGATCGTCTTGATCAAGTGGGTCTAGAGACTGAGGATTGGGGCAGCCGTTCTCCTGAGGACCAACATAGAGCACGTCCACCGCTGGACTGGGGAAGTCAACCTGTTCATGGACACATAACAAATATTCAAATCAGGAAAATAGGTCTGCCCCAAATCAAATAATTCTGCACTATTCTACATCATTTTGTAGTATAATCAATATAAGCAGTGCATTAACACTGAAAAGTGCACTTTAAATACCCAGAGGACACACTCATTCAAACTCTAAAAGGAAGTGTGGATTGATGAACACTTCATGTACTCAACACTCACAGCTTTGCTTACATAGTGGACAGTGGGGGAGCTATTGATGTAGCAGAAGCCTTGCAAAAGGGGATAACTTTGTATATGGAGGAGCCTACATACAGTTCAGTGCTTCCCACATATCGACTTTACTTATGAATATATAATATACATACATATTAATGATCAACCAAGATTTAGAGACACTTTTTCAAAAATATTATCATCCTTTTACACTTTTTTTTGTATCCGCACAATATAACCAAACATCCACGAGCGATTAAGTAGTGAAAAATCTTCTTTCATTTAAAGGTTTCATGATACTTAGTCTGTGTGCACGAGAACTGTCAAAAACTCCCCCAGACAGTCTCACGTGCTCTGCAGACTCAGAAACAGAGCTTTTTTTGCACCCGGCCAGGGTTTCTACATCTATTAAAATGTCCAGGATTTGGCTTTTGCTTTCTAAAGCTGTCATTAATTGTATGATCACAGCCGCGAGAGCGAGAGAAACATTAACAAATTAAATACTTCATCTAAATGACTCAGAAAAACTTTAGTGTAATTTTGTCCACTTCGAATATTTAATAAAGTGGCTGCAAAATATTTGTACACAACAGTGGTGGATTTAGGCATGGGCAATATGAGCTATCTCCGGGGGGGGACCTTACTGAATGGCATGGGGAGACGGTGCAAAAAAAGTGCCACAGTAAAAGATTTGAGATAAGATTTACTTGATGCAAGTGTATTAATGTAGAGTGGTTATCCCAGAATAAAAAAATGTTAGGGGCTATTCACATTTGGCGTCTTTTTTACACGCCAACCGAAACAACGCTGGTGAAAACAAATTGATGCAGAAAGCCATTCCCACACAACTCACACGTGCTGCTCCTGATCAATAATCCTCACCCAATAATAATAATAATAATAATAATAATAATAATAAACAAATTGTTATATTTATAGAAAATAAATGAATATATTTAAATGTATTTATAATATATATATTTTTAATGTATATATTTATAAATGTATATTTAAATATTTAAATTATATGTAAAGTCAACCACAGTGTCTTTATTTCTTGAGAGAGATGGGTGAGGGGAAATGTTTGGGGTGGTTTCGCCCAGGTACTATTTAAACTAGAATTGCCACTGGTACACAGTTAGAAATGGCTAATCAACTTATTTGCCTTTTTTAAATAATCTACACGTTTTATTCCTATCATCTTTTTTTTTTAGAATATTTTCAGTTTTTATTTACTTTTTCAAACATTTATTTATCATTAGCTGGATATTTATAAAGCAACCTGAACTTGAATGTGAGAGTGAAGTGAAGAAATTGTGAAATAGAGGCAGCTATTCTTTCTTTCTTTTTGTCTTTTACTTTGAAAAGAAAAAGTTTCTAACAGTTTTAATAAATAAAAATATTTTTTATTAATCATGTTTGTCACATAGAGTCAACAATTTTTGTGACGTGGGTAAAAGGTGTGATTTAATCCAGCTACCGCCGCAAGTAGATTTCAAAGCAGTGGAAAAAATGATAAGCCCTCGTGTGAATTTTATTTCTTCATGACAGGTACTATTTGGTAGTTTGGTCTTTTATTTCATTAATTTGGCAACTGTTAAACGTTGACCAAGAAATGGTTTGAATCTCCATTTTATTAACAAAAACAAAAAAACGCTGAGTTCCATTTGGGATGACACAAAACTCATCCACTCATGAGTGTATAAGTACACAGTGTATTAGCGTACTGTGCTATTTGGGAAGCAACTAATGTCAGGTAAACTCTACAAAAAGAAAGGCAAAAGGAAAGGACCTGCAGTATGATCTTTTCTGTAGGATTCCTCCCTTTGCCTGCAGCTCCAGGCTGAAGGGCTTGAGGAGAAGTCCACAAACTCAGCAGTTTACTGCCTCTGGACAGAACCCTGAAACAAAGCAGCAGGAAGACAAACTTAAGAGACAGCATTCAAAAACTGTGCCAGACTCATTAACTCAAGCATGCTCTAATATATCTATCATGCACAGTCATACCGGAAGTAACAACTTATTCTTTGTACAATTCTTAAGCATACATTTGAAAATCTATTTATAGACCTGTCTTTCCATCTATAATCTAGTATGCATCCATCTATCCATTTATCTACACATCCATGCTTTTTTCAATTGATCCATTTAGATTTCATCAATCATATACCTATCGTCATTCCATTCTATCCACCCATAGTTTTTTTACCCATCCATCCATCCATTAATCTATTCACCCATGTAATCATCCTTTTATCACTCCATCTCCCCTTTCCTCCATCGATCAAAATATTAATCTATCATCCATGCATTTATCCATCCATCTAAATCCATTATTAATTTGTTAATCCACTGATCCACTTATTATCAATCCTATTTTCTATTAGAGACTATCCATCCATTAATAAATATATTCATCAATGTATCCATCCATCTATTCATAATTTTAATTATTCATCTCTTCTTACCTACTTCCATCCATCCATAACCCATGCATTAACCATCAATCTATTTATCTATCAATTCCTCAGTTGATGCAGCTATCCGGTTATTTAACATTCACAAATTTACCCATGATCCATGTAACTAAGAACTTAACCATTTATGTAACAATGTATTTTATTAATCATTTTTATCCATTTTCAATCTATCCATGCATTTATCCATCTATCCAACAATCCATCAATCAATTGACCCACTTATTTATCCATCATACTATGTATCAGTGAGAGTCCACCCGTCCACGTATCTATCATCTATCCATCCATCCATCAATAAATCTATTCACCCATGTATCATCCATCCTTTTATTTATTAATCTCTCTATCCATCCATCCATCCATTATGCCACAATCAATCTTATAAAACTTGCCAAAATTATTTTATCAATCAGTAAGAGTTCATCCATCCATACACATACACATGCATCCACTATTCAGTTCATCCACTTATCAAGCCATCTAACCATTAAAAGCCAAATCATCCATCTCATCACTGAATAAATTACATGAAAAATAAACAAAACAAATATTAATCAAACACATAAAATGTGCAATTTACTCCCAAAGGTAATTCTTGTGTATTTGAGGTGCTGTTTATGACTTGCCTCCTGAAGTCAAACAGAGGCATGGAAACTTTTCCCAAAAGTTCTGGACCTTTCCGTTGCTTGTTGGAATCTGGTGAGTTGTTTGCATTCTGACTGAGGACCCCATAGAGAGAAAGACTAAGCATAGCCTCCAGTGGTAACAGCGACACTGAAATAGGGAAGTTTATTCTAAAAAAAAAAAAAAAAAAACAGAGTAAGACGTCACTAAGTGCAGAAACTGGCAGCAGTCCCACTGAAATTCCCCCTTTAATTCTAAAAATTGCAGGAAGCAGTGTGCCATTCTGCTTAAGAAGGATTAACACTTACAATTCATCCCATTTGATGTGGTAGAAGAAACTCTTGTATGTTCCCACTTTTTTGGACTGGACAGGTTTGAAGAGATTCCTGTTGTTATGGGTCAGGGCACACATCAGGTAGTATTTTTCAAAACTGGAAAACAGAAAGGAATGTATTACTCTATGGCACGAAATAGGAACAAAACATTAGCCTGTCTGGTATTTACTCATCTCCAAACTTTATATTGAAAACTAATTGAAAAATGTTTGCACTGACTGTAGCTTCATGTGAACACAAATGCTTTGCATGCATTTTTTAAAATACTTTGGCAAATTATGGAAATCCGTTTATCAAACTTCAAATATTTGTAAATTTACAAATGGCACATGGACACATATTTTGAATGTGTTTTGGTGTGGTCTGTGAAAATATTTCATGCTGCTATAAATAGGCTTCATGATGAAGCGCTGTGGTACAAAGAATTCTCAAGGGTAAAAAAATAACAGTAAAAAAATAACAGCGTCTCCCCTAAGGGAACTGGATCAAAACATAGAACCAAGTGATGCAGAACTTTAACCCTCTTCTGTCTCCAAACACATCACACCCCTATCGCTCTGCTTGTTCTGTATGGAAATCACTAGTCAAGTCTATTTTAGCAATGGCAGATAAGTGCTGCTTTTTCAGTGGCAATAAATAAGAGCACTCAAGATAAAGTTAGCTACACAGAATGGCCTATCCAACAATTCACTGTCATTCTCGCTCAACAGACAAACTACTAACAATAATAATTTTGCAAGCATGTCAACCTGTTCTGCTAATTAAAACCTAATAGTCTACCAAAATTAAAATGAGAATTAAGAGTAGTTAAATTGACTTTTATTCAACAGGATGTCTATCAAAATAACATGCAAGCTACATTTCCGAAGGAACTGAACACATCTATGCACAAAAGCAAAAGCTCAAAATGTCAGTGAGATTAAAAGACGTTTTGTAATGTCTCATGGCTACATTTATTTGATCAAACACAGTAAAGCTGTATTTTTATACATTAATGTATTATAATATTATACTGTTGCAATATAATACACATGTAGCAGCTATTACTTTAAACTTGACTTTCACATGATGCTTTAAAGTTCATTCTAATCCACTGATTTAGTGCTTAAGATGTCGTCTCAATAATGCTGAAATATGTGTATATTATGTTGTATTTTTTGTTAAAGTGATTACTGATAAATTATTGATAGATTAGATTATTGATAAAGTTATTGCATCCATGCTTTATTTTGGCCACAAAAACTGCCAATTGACTAGCTCTTTGAGCCATCTTTTTCTAATGGTTAATGAGTATCAAAGCAATGTTAAAGTTTTTCATCATTTTTAATTAAACACCATTTTAAGTGACAGAGCAAATACGCAAGTCTCAACATATGCCAAATGTCAAAATCCCAAGTAATGAGATCACATATACTACATCATGACATTCCAAAAATAATAATTATCAGAGGGCAAAACCTTCTTCCCTTACAACATGGCCTAATGTGCTTCGAAATGCTAAAAAAAAAAGTTGATTTCGAGTGTAGTGCGTTAGGAATAAAGTGATTCTACATCTCTCAAAGTTCAGTTAAACATTAAATGGTCCAGATATCATTTATTGAAGTCAATTGCTCCAAGAAAACACAGACCCGAAATTACTCAAATTATCTAAGAGGAAATAACAGTGTAATGAATATGGACCCAGGCAATGCTTTGAAAGTAATAGAGAAGTTTACCTTGGCTGCAAGTTTGTTAAACAGAGTCATTATCATTCCGAAGAGAATTAAACATCATTTAGCATTTTTCTGGACTGTGAGAGAAACCCAAACCAAATCCATTTTTTGTATTATTGAAGTATTAGCGTGAAATTTAGACCATCTTCTACTGACTAAGAGAGACGACAGTATTTACCTGCTGACCCAGGTAGCAGGAATGCCATGAACGGCAAACAGTGTGAACTGTAAGTGTTCAGTGGTGCCCGAGGCCTCTTTGCTGTCCCTCTCATCTTCTTTGTGCTCTTCTATCATGAAACCAGGGCTAATCGGGCAGAAAGACTGAAGGTAGAGCTTGGCGAGTTCATAGACAGCATCTGTGAGCACTGCTAAACTCTCCTCTACAGGGCTAGAGTAACCTGGACGATTATAAGAAACAAAGATTAGAGAATAGGTTAATAGGATAACACAGCACATGCCTGTTTTTAAATCCTACAATCTTGAAAATAAAAAGTTGTTTAAGGAAAACTTCCCAAAAGGAAGTCTGGAAGTTTGCTTTCCAGTATGAGCAAGCCTAAATATAATGTATGTGAATGTTCTTCAGCACTGTCATAAATGCATATTGCTGAATATAGAAGTAACATGCAGTTGACCAAGATATTTAAAGATAATATTTACTTTGTTCTCTCAGAACTAAAAGGGGTGATGATATTAATAAAACTGCAGTAGGAAGGATTTCATATTTATACTTAAAATTATTTTTAAAAGATAATTCAACTTAACATGAAAATTTATGTCTACATTAATTCACCTTCCACTTGTTCCAATCTGTTTTCCTCTGTTGAACACTAAGGAACATATTATGAAGAAAGTTGGGGAAAAAACATCCATTATTTCCTAGGGATAGACTGATCACGATAATTGTTCAATGCTGCACATTTTTGCTAGATTGAGTATCGGCCAACCAGTACCGATCCAAATCCAATCTTGTGTGTGCGCCATATTCAGTGTAATTTATAAGCCAACAAAAGCCATGAAGATAGCCTATTATAAGGCACTAGAAAGTTTTCATGTAGGCCGACTATATCCCAAATGTTCTGAAGCCATTCTATAGTTTAATATGAAGTACAGATAAATATTCAAGTGGTAAAATTCATCATCAGTTCAGTGCTTCCCTCTGCTGCGCCTGTCAGTCATTCTCCATTCATTCACAATTCAAACTGCATGTCGCTTATGTTTGTTTATGACAACACTAAAAACTCTCCAGGACTATTTTTTCCTGTTAGTTTAAATTATCAGCGGAGAAATGCATTTAGTTTTGCATTAAATGGGTTCATTTTGACCGGCAACAAAGAGGAGTTCGTTGCGGTTTCTAAATCATGTTGCATTGTTAGATTGCACTGACCGTGCAATATGGATTGTGATTAACAGAAAATGATTTAGCCTAATATAGGCTACTCTGAAACTTTTAAAATTTCACAGTAATTTTATTTATATTAAAATTTTATTTAATAGACCATTTTGTGTTTTGCCGCTGAAGCATACGAGCAGACTTAGTTTTGAACTTCATCTCAAATCTTCTAGTGTATTTTGTAGATAACTGACTAAAGAATACATTTATACCAAACTAAAATCATTCCTAAAAAATCATTTTTTGTCACAACAAATAATTTTTCAGGACTCAGACAGTTTAGTTTAGTCTGCATCAAACCTGCAGGGAAATATCAGGCTTTGCTTACAGGCTAGTTATTTTACTAACGATTAGGGTCAATGGTAGTAGCTTCTTACAGATTTCAAAGAAAACCCTTAATATTAAAAAAGGAAACATGACCTGGACCCCAACAGATCAATCAATGTTATAATAAATGCTCATGTTTTTAGTCAGATTGTGACATCTGTCATATACTGTACAGTAGGCCTATTGGTCTGTTATTTTATACTAAAAATTAAACTGCTTATGTTTATTAAAAATATATACTCAGATAATTAATTTTGGTATCAGGATTGGACCCAAAAAAAATGATATCGGTCAAATTAATGTCATTTCTTTCAGCATTGTACAGAATATGTTGTTTTATGTTCAACAGAGGAAAGAAAGTCTCAAATGTTTAAAATCACCTAAGTTTGAGTAAATTTTAACTTTTGCCTGAACTGTTCCTTTAATGCTGAAAATATTGCACAAATTATAGAAATAAACAATAATTATAGGGAGAGATGCTGAACTTTAACTTACCATTAGCTGAACCTCCGGAAGATGTGGCACCAGCCTGCAATTCAGCATAGTGCTTTATGAAACATGCGCACATATAACAATAAAAAAACATTTTAGACTAGGTACAGGGAACAACATGTCAGCACTGATTTTGTTATTATTATTGTTATTATTATTAATTTTAAAGTGGTTTTAGTCAGTGCTAGATAAATCAATTTATTAACAATTGATCTGTCAAAACATGAAAAATACTTCCTGACTTATGAGTAACAGTCATCAAATTAATACAGTAGTTCCCCATTCCAGTCCTCAGGCCCACTGCCTTGCACAGTTGTATGTCTTTTTGTAACCAAGACATATAAAATGTGCAGAGAAGGAGGCCAGAGGACTGGACTTGAGAACCATTGTATTAATATCGCACATGGCTGAAGGTTTATACTGAAGGGTCTCTGACCTCTGGTGAGCGTGTTCTAGGAAGGTTGACAGAGCGCTTGAGCCTCTTGACGGCATCAGTGATGGCTGGTGTCTCAACTTCATCCAGAGCACAGCACAGATTCTTAACAGACTGAACCACATTGTCCACTGTTTTATATTGGTTGTTCTAAAAAGAGACACAGAAAAATGCTTACAATTAAAAATATATAACAATAGTTTCAAGGAGTTCTTGACTTATTTTGATACAGTAGCTACTGTATGTTTTCATCTAGCTATTTTTATGTGAAGTTTGGAATATCGCATCTGTGGAGTTGCTCTTCGGTAAATCTTCCTTCAGCATTAACTTTTGCATTAAACCGATCAGAATTAAAGTGAATAGAAGCAATTTATTAGAAATACACTCACATTCTACACTACTCTCCTGCCTGCCTGAACTGCTGGAATGTTCCACAAATCAATTTAAAAAAATATTATTTTACTCTTTATCTTTTCTTTATCCAAGTTAAGCTAATTTAACACAATCTACATTGTAAAAAGTGTGAAAGAAATAAAGATTACCTGAACTGAACTGAATAAAAAATGTTTTATATAGAAATTAAATTTTAGAAAATGTGCATTAAAACCTTCACAACAAAGAATGTTTTATCAAACAAGAAATGTGCATAAACTACGATGGAAAGACATTTACTGAAATAATTTCAGCATGTGCAAAAACACAACATGATTTTGTTTCAACAGATCATGTGATAATAAAAAAGGTGTAAGGAGATAGCCTTAACAGACAAACTAGTGAACCTACAGTGGCACATTGTAAAAAATCTGAATTTTTGTTTTAGTTAATCTAAAATGCTTCAGCCAATGTCCATCATCAATAAGTTGTTTGGTACAAGGTTATAATAGTTTTGTACTTTTCATTAGTTTAAGTTTTTATTTCATTTTGACTTTTTGTTTTCAAATTCAGTTAGTTTTAAATAGATTTAGAGGTAGATTTACTAGTTTATATATATAAATATATATATATTTTTTAAAACTGCTTAGTTTTAGTTCATATTAGTTTCAAATATTATTATAATTGTTAATTATCATTATTAAGGATATTTGTTAGATACAAGATTCAAAATGAAAAAAAAAAAAACTCAACCAAAGATACATCTTTTGAAACATGTATCCAGAGGACACATGACCACTATCATCTACCCATCTTAAAAATCAAATACAACAGCCCACAATATAGCAGCTCAAAGTGCAATATGTGTGCAAGGCTGCTTCTGATGTTAGTTACGTAGTAATGGGAAATTCAGATCTTTAATACAAACTGGATCTTTCGTGACCATCCTCCCATGTTAGGACTTAACATATCAAAAATATGTAGTCAGCAATTATATTTACGTCAGTTAAAACATCATTATGATCTGAAAAGTTTCTTACAATTATTTTTGCAACCTAACTCAAGCATGACTCACTTATTTAAATTCCATTACGATTTTCTGCCATGAAATAAACTTACATTTTGCCAGATCCTTTCATATAAGCCCACAGTTTACCAGCGCTGCAGTTGTTCAAGTTAAGTTGAGTCACAACAGGCTGTCATGTACCGTTATATACATATGCGCAGTATTATCGGTTCTATTATCAAATCTGATCTCTGTGCACTGTACAAATAACTGATTAACTCAGTATATCTTGGTTTGTTTCGAGTCAGAATGATTTACTTCGATTTGTTGAACTAGTTTAACTGGTTTACTTAGAAGATCTGGTTAAAAAGAATGATTCGTTTGTGATTGAGATTGGATTTACATTTACATTTAGTCATTTAGCAGACGCTTTTATCCAAAGCGACTTACAAATGAGGACAAGGAAGCAATTTACACAACTATAAGAGCAACAATGAATAAGTGCTATAGGCAAGTTTCAGGTCTGTAAAGTCTAAGAAGGAAAGTATTAGTAAATTTTATTTTTTTGAGTACAGTTAGTGGTATATCCAGAGAGGCAATTGCAGATTAGGAAGTGAAGTTGCACTCACACTCACAAAAGATCCAGTTTGCATTAAAGATTTGAGATTGCACTCACTTATACAGAAATAAAACCTATATATGGGAACAAATGTGGTAAAAATTAATAATTTTAAGTCTGCATTTACTGCTGTCACCATGCTGCTGTCATATCCATTCTTTTTTTGTCATGGGAGCAAAAGTAAGGACTGAGTGGAGAAGAACCAGCTTGATCTGGCCAATGGCATCAGGATTACAGACTCAGAGGTGCATTGTGGACCAAACACCTAACAGCTCGAAGTATGTATTAAATACATTTAAAAAGACGAAAACAAAGAAAAAATTATGCAATACTTTTAGTTAGCTTTGTATGCACACAATACAGTTTCAGTTCTAATTATAAAACATAAAATAAAAAAATAAAAACTTCTTTCAGTTTTTTAGTTGTCGTTTTTTCGTTCACTATAATAACCTTGGTTTGGCATTATTACATCTAAAACTCTGCTCTGGTGGCTGCGCTCCCATAAAGCAGTCTTGCGCCTCCAAAATACACTGAACATTCATTGCATTTCGTTCTCTGAGGTTTAATTTATTATATGAGGAAAAACAGGCTCAAAGTGGATTCTCCTACTGTAGCAAATTTCATTTCTCTTTTTGATATTTGGCACCAATTCTTCAGGAAGTGACAATTTTGCTCTCTTTGACTCATTGAATGTAAACTTTGCTTTATTCGCAAACGTTTTTTGCTATGTTCCATATTTGTGCATAAATGTCATTTAAATCTTTATTTGCAAACAAAGCTAGTGTTTGAAACATTTCAGAAATGTGCTACCTCATTCTGAAGGCAGAGATTGACTTGCTTATGAAAGCCTTCTAGATATTCAGCAAGGCCTTCTCTGTAAAAGAAAGAACAAGCGTGCAAATGCATGAGAGAAATCAACAAGCACAATCTGGGACTTCAAAGGCAACACGAAGCCTTCCAGATAAGATGGAGAACATTCCTACCTTGTGACTGCCTCTTTAAATGGCCTCTCCACTAGACCAAGGTATTTCTCCAAATCAATGGGCGAGATGTCATCTTCTGCCTGTTAACAAGCATCCAAAGAAAAAAGAATCTTCATTATTTTTATAACAGTGATGGTAGTGTAGTGCAGTGAACAACCAGATTCTATCTATTTCTTTTAGCCTTTATTAAGTGTCTTACAGTTCGGGCCAGATCTCTTCTCATTGTGCTAAGAAACAGGAGCTGTAGTTTGATCTCTGATTCCCACTTCCTGCAGTTCTGCACGTACTCATGACTGCCTAGACTGTGTTTACTGGAAGAGAACATAAAAGATGCTTTAGAAATGGGCCAGAGCCAAAAGCAACTGTATTAATCAATAATAAAACCTACCATTAAAAAGATTAGGGTAATTAAAAGTGTAACAGTTTAATTGACCAACAATGCATTTGATTGATCAAATATTACATGAAACATTTCTTTTTTTTTTTATAAAATATTTTAAACAAAAATCCATGAAAAGGGTAATGGTTAAATAGTAAATCTAGTTAAACATTTTTGTTGATTATAAAGTAATATAATTCCTCTTTTTAATATAAAATCTATGTTAATAGAGCATCGCGTCAGTATCTTACAAGAATTGCTGACTTGAGGAAATGCTGCTTAATATTCAGCTTTATTAATCTTTCTAATTAGTTTCGATTTATATTTGAAAAATGCAAAACAACATTTAATTTCAATATTTAACACTACTGCTTTTTTTTTCTTTACTCTATTCATCAAATAAATGTGAACATACAATCAACGGCCACTTTATTAGGTACACCTTACTAGTACCGAGTTGGACCCACTTTTGCATTCAGAACTGCCTTAATCCTTTGTGGCATAGATTCAACAAGGTATTGGAAATACTCCTCAGAGACTTTAATCCATATTGCCATGATAGCATCACGCAGTTGCTGCAAATTAGTCATCTTCACATCTATGATGCGAATCTCCCATTCCACCACATTCCAAAGGTGCTCTATTGGATTAGGTTCTGGTGACTGTGAAGGCCATTAGAGTACAGTAAACTGATTGTCATGTTCAAGAAACCAGTCTGAGATGATTCACGCTTTACGTCATGCTATTCTGCTGGAAGTAGCCATTAGAAGATGGGTACTCTGTGGTCATAAAGGGATGGACAAGGTCAGCAACAATACTCGGGTAAGCTGTGGTGTTGACATGATGCTCAATTGATACTTTGATACAAGGTGGGATGGATCCATGCTTTCATGTTGTTGATGACAAATTCTGACCGTCCAAATGTAACAGCAGAAATCTAGACTCATCAGACCAGGCAACGTTTTTCTAATCTTCTATTGTCCAATTTTGGAGAACCTGTGTAAATTGTAGCCTTAGTTTTAGAGATGCTCTTCTGCATACCTCGGTTTTAACGAGTGGCTATTTGAGTTACTGTTGTTTTTCTATCAGCTTGAACCAGTCTGGCCATTGTCCTCTGGCATCAACAAGGCATTTAAGCCACAGAACTGCCGCTAACTGGATATTTTCTCTTTTTCAGGCCATTCTCTGTAAATCCTAGAGATGGTTGAAGCGTGAAAATCCCAGTAGATTAGCAGTTTCTGAAATACTCGGACCAGTCTGGCACCAACAAACGTCTAATGTTAAAAGTCTCTTAAATCACCTTTCTTCCCCATTCTGATGCTTGGTTTGAACCGCAGCAGATCGTTATGACCATGTCTACATGTCTTAATGCATTTAGTTGCTGCCATGTGATTGGCTGATTAGAAAAATGTGTTAGCGAGCAGTTGAACCTAATAAAGTGGCCGGTGAGTGTATTTTTCTACAAACATTTTCAAATTCTTATCATCCCCAAACTTTTAAATGGTACACATAAGCCTTATGAAAAACAACACAAAAAAGAAGATATTGCATCATTTCTTTTTGAGAAAGTTCACTCTAAGAACATTCCAGAAGAGTAGTTTTTTCCAGGAGAATTGTGCTTTGGAAGGGTCATATTTAATTCACTCTTCAATATCGACTTGCCAAGGTCAAATGAGGACAAGCCAGACACTGAGAAACTTTAACATAACAACTAAAAACTTTCTAGAACGCTTAAAAACTCTGAAATGAGCACAATAACATGGACACCCCATGGTAACTAAGGGAGGATGCCTTACATTAGACTCAATTCTTCCTAAATGCTTGGAAGGGTTTTGTTTTGCCCAATCCCTCTGTTTCTTATTAGGCCAGGCAAACCCTCCCCTAGCACTGCTGGTTCTTCTCTTCCAATGGTGTGGGTAAAAAGGAAACATTTCCCTAGCACAATTAAAGCAAAATAGCCCCGCTCTCAAGGAATGTTGGCAGGAGACGTGTTTATGTAATAGGACAGAATGCCTGCAAAAAGGAAAGCGAGAAACTAAAGGGAGTACTCACTTCTGAAGGACCTCCTCCTGTCCGCAGACCTTGAGAACGTAGCTATTGATGTCCACCTGGTTCAGGTCATCATGAACCCAACACAAAGCCTGCATTATGAGCAAGTCCACTGGAGAAGTCACTAGGGAAAGAAATACAGACTACAATAAGAAAGCCATCTAAAGACAGATAAAAAAAGGAATTCGATGGGGAAAAAATTAAGAATTAGGACTGCACGATACTGCAAAAATATGCAATAATGTTGTTGAGTACTGAAATAACGGTATTTCTTATGATAAAACATTTACCTAGATCAGGGGTCAGCAATCTCGTTCCTGGAGGTCCGTTACCCTGCAGGGTTTAGCTCCAATTTGCCTCAACACACCTGCCTGGGTGTTTCAATTATACCTAGTAAGAGCTTGATTGGCTTTTTCAGGTGTGTTTGATTAGGATTGAAGCTAAAATCTGCTGGTCATCGGACCTCCAGGAACAAGTTTGGTGATACCTGACCTAGATAAATGCTATTTATATTAGCCATGTTTTCTTAAATAATTTAAGGATAATAAAATAAACAGATGAAATATATTCTTCAATTCAGATAAAAAAAAAAATACAAATGGTACAAAATGGTACAAATGTGTTGTCATGGTACAAACATTTAGGGCCCTATCATACACCCGGCGGAATGTGGTGCAAGTGGCAGCGCAATAGTTTTTACTACTTTAAGCTTGGCGCAAGGGTCATTTTAAGGCATTGGGCCACACTGTTTAAATAGCAAATGCATTTGCGCTCAAATATGCGCCCATAGGCGTTCTGGTCTAAAAAAGCAGGCGTGTTTTGGTGCGTTGCTATTTTGAGAAACTGTAAATAGTCTGATCTTTAGACCAGAACAAAGACGGTCTATTGTCTAGCCTAGCGCAAAGTGCAGGCTGGGGGGGGTTGTCGCGCGCGTTCTGATCAGCTGTGTTGTCGCGCGCAATCTGATCAGCTGTGTTGTCGCGCGCGAAATCTGATCAGCTGTGTTGTCGCGCGCGAAATCTGATCAGCTGTGTTGTCGCGCGCGTACTCAAGGGCGGTGTTGTTGCGCGCCTACTGAAAGGCGGGAATGAGGGTGTGTTGCGTGGCGGGGGCACTTTTGATCATTTTGGAAGGGCACTTTTTATCCAAGACTAAAAAGGGCATGTGCACTGCACAGGTTGAGCCCTATGTGTGCACGTGCCTGCACAAGATGCAATACGCCAATATTTTTACATATGAAAAAGATATAATAAGTATATATATATGATATAATAAGGATATATATAGGATATAAATATAAATGATGAAAATATTACAAAACATATTAATTTCTAGCCTACATGAATTTAAAAACCACACCTTCATACTTTCTTCATCTCGGGGGGGGGGCATAGACCATATGGGGCATAGCAGGTGTATTTGCAAATAACTCAGTATTTTGACGAAACTTTTTTATTATTAATCACTTATTCGTTTGCTGGAAATTAGAACTGAATTTAGAAATAGTTTTGAAACTAATCTTTGCGCTTAACAAACGAAATCAATTATTTATAGGCTAATTGATGTCTGTGCGGTAAGGTTTCCCTATCCATGAGAGCAAAAGCGAAAGTAAACTTACTTTATGTCATGTTAATACCAATGCGCTTATGGCGTGACGCAGCTGGCTCTTAAAGGTAATGGAAGATGAGACTCCAGGTTTATTCTCAAAACACACCTATAACTCATTAAGTAAATAAACTCAGCCCTTTTAGACCATGCGCTATGGCGCAAAGCAGATTTTCCCGTCCTTAAGTTAGCAAAAATGCATTCTGACACGCCCTGAAAGCGTTTGCGCCCTGCGTTTTGCGCTCTGCGCATGGACCGTCCGAAATAGAGCCCTATGTCTTTAAACCACTATGAATAAAGAAAAAGCTTTTCTGGCTCTAATTGGCTGTTGTTACTTTCCTCTCGTCTCAACTTCTGTCATTAGTGTTTATTTCCAGCTCTGGGTTCACCTCTGGGCTCCTAAAAGTCAATAGCAGAACTGCAACTAATGTGGAAACAGAACTAAAGATAAAGCATGATCTTGAACCTGATTAGTCAAATTAAGATAAAGAACCAATGCATAAGATTAATTAATTTATTACACACCTCTGCAATACCTATGTCACATATACTATTAATGTAATACCAATAATTTTTCAACACATGGTGCAGCCCTATACAGAATGTATTTTGTAGTCTCTGACACTTAAAGTTGATTTTCACTGTCTGGACAAATTCCTTACACAAAGGGCTTCTTTACACTTGGCCTGATTAAAACAAACTGCAGTGCAATTGCCATGTTAATGCGGTTCATTTGAATAGGTGTGAATGATGTCATCCAAACCCTAGTGCGTATCAAACAAATAGACTGAAACCCCTGAAAAGACTGGTCTCACTCAGTCTGCAAACAAACTCTGTAACAGTTTGATTGAAATGCGAAGACAGTATGGCACAATAGACATTTAATTAAACTAAAAAACAGGACATGATGTCACAAGATGCAACACTAAAAGAACAGAAAGAACAAGCTAGTGCTGCATAATTGTATCACAACTGCGATGTCAGCCTGTGCGGTTATATGATGGGGAAAATGTTGCGATTTTATTAAATCAATAATGAATAATTTATGAGAACAGCTTTTTTTCTGATATCCGTGCTGCTAACAAAACAAACAAACAAACAAAACCTATATTTATTGTATTTGTATTTTAACTAGAGATGCACCATTCGACTATCCAAGGCCTGTAATCAGCTGATTCTAGTCCTCTGGTCTGGTCTGTTAGTAATAGCGCTCACAGTTTTCATGGAGAGGTGCACACTCACTGTCACTGTCATGACCCTGAACTCAGTGGCGTAGCGCAAAATGCAGAGGGCCCCCTGCAGGGATCGCTGACGGGGCCCCCTGATGAAGGGGGGGGGATACGTCATACGTCAATTTGCATATCACTGACGTCATCACGTTCTACCGTTTCTGTTTAACAGCATATGGTTTATAAAGGGGTATTTATAATTGCACTACACTTTATATAAGCATGTTTATTTAACTAAATGTATTGCTGTTTGAATACAGTATGTCATTATAGATGTATAGTGAATGTGCAGTAATCTCTCATATGTAATAAACTCAGACAAGTTCAGAAACTGTCAATAAAATTTCTGTGATTGTGAACAAGAAAAGAATTAACGGTCCAATTAAATTGTTAAAATAAAGGAGAAGTACATAGGTTTGACTGTACAAGGGAAATACCTTCACACTGCCTGTGCTAAATCATTTGTCGTCGGTACGCAGAGGGGTGATCTGCTCTCGGGCTGCAGGTGGGAGAGGCTGCTGTACGAGGACTGACTGGGCCGCCTGTCAGTGCTGTGAGGCGGGGGAGGGGCCGGCGGCATCACACGCAGCTCGTTGAGAAGAGTAGGGACGGTACAGTATGGACAAATGACAGTCTAAAAAAAATTCTTCAATAACACACAAAAAAGTCGCTAGATTTGTCGCTAGGGGGGTCTGAAAATTCGCTAAATCTAGTGACAAAGTCGCTAAGTTGGCAACATTGGCGGCAAGCAATCAGAATGAAGTAGTCCACCGCTTGAGAGGTGTTCAGAGAACACAGACGTGTGAACTTTGGTTACGACCACAGTTGTTCCCAAGAGTTTATTGAAATTCGCGACGACGCGGGGCCCCCCCGCGGTGCGTGCCCTGCGGGCCCGTCCGCTACGCCACTGCCTGAACTTCTTTCACAGTGTTTAGAGTGGCTGTTTACAATTTGCAGCACGGCCACTACGTTTGGTGCAACTAACTTAATAACCGTCAAATGACTTTCATCTAAAAGCACAATTCAGACTTAATATAGAGTAACTTCGGGTGGTATTTTTTTAACGATGTGTAAACAGAGTGGTTTGACATGCAGTCCTGTCTGTGACACTTGCAGCTTGTTGCATGCTAACGCGTGCAGGCGTCCATGATGAAATCCTGACAGAGAGCATTTGAGTTGCTGGTGCTCCTCACCTGAACAGGTACATAACACTAGCGGTCTCTCCGGTCACATCAGCAGAAATGAAGCTCACTGATATTCACAGACCGTTTAACTGATCACATTAATCTGTTAATCATTAACAAGCAGAGATGTGGTCTTGATAGAAGGAAAATGGTCTGTGAATATCAGTGAACGTCCCTCCTGCTAATGTGAGAGGAGAGACCGCTAGTGTGAGTGCATATATATATATATATATATATATATATAAGGGGTGTCACGATTTCGATTATCGAAATTTATGCTCAATTTCGATTATCGAATCAAAAAATAGAATCGTCGATGCTGCCACGCGTCCCGTCAGCTTGGCTTGTCAAGTGGGAAAAATATATACATATATATATATATACATATATATACATATATATATATATATATATATACACACACACACACACACACACACACACACACACACACACACACACACACACACACACACACACACACATATATATACATATACATACATACTTATATATATTGATGGAGCCAGTTTGATGTTGATATCATGTAGTTTGCACTGGTTTGAACTTTACATTGTACACGTTACAGCAAGGGCTGTTGAGGGTGCTATTGGGAATGATTTTTAAACCTCTTCTGACTCATTTAGAAAAAAAAAACATAACAAGAGACTATGGCAAAAAGTATTTGGCATGACTAGATCAGAACAAAATCTGACACCCAACATATTGCTCATGGTCACCCCAGGGCTATAGCAATAACAGACCCCACACCCCTCCCTGGAATGATCCACTCTTCAAGCTCCAAGCCTAGGGCTGGATTAAAGTCAGTTATGTCTAACCTGGACTTTTCATGTCAGCCCTGTGTTTTTCAGGACTAAATGCCTGATGGTCATGCCTAATTGGTGGTGATTTTGGGGTTGTTTTGATGGGTTGTGGGATGCCAGTAAAACTGCCATCTTCTTCCCATGGTACTACAGTAAAACACATGGTCCTGGAATGTCAGGAGTGTGTGGTTGGTCTATAATGGCGGGGATTCTACAGCCATAAGGAAGTCATGGAAAAAAGCCGAGAGGCAAGAAAAACCGAAATGCTTGGAAAACGCAAATCCGTATGGTGCATGTACAATCCAAATGAATGAACAACAATCATATAAATTTCCAAATAAAGCAACACACAAGCTTTTTTCTCAATTGGTGTGCATCTTAATTTGAAGGGGCCAAATCTGATCCAGGAATCAGAAAATGGAGACTTTTAATCTGAGTTTATCCTGGAAAAGCCTTTATATTCCACACATTTAAACCTTAGTCGCCTCCCGAGCTTCATTTGCTGTGTCTCCCATGCCAAGTATGTCTGGAATTGCTAACTCTACTAACCTTACACACAGCTAAGCACTTTCCTCCACTTGAACAAACCAAGGAAAACCTCAAAAGCCACCTTTTTGAAGTTTCAGACAGTCAGGCTTAACATGCGAAGAAAGCATTGAGCTTCTTTGTATGGATTAGGAAAGTTAAGTATTCATAAATATGAGATCTTACTTATGCCCACTGTTTACAGAATGAAGGTATATTGTTACAAACCCAGATTTCAGTAGGATCAATGAAATCTCCTGATCTAAACACAACATACTGGGTCAGAAGTTGAAAAGGAAAGAACAAGTAAGAAGAGAGTCAATTTAACAATCCAGTTAGATACAGTATAGCAGGGAGATTCGTCAAACATATTAGCTGTCTATAAGGCAAACTCAGACACTTTGCCCCCTTTTCCCTTCCTAAGACCACAGTGTATGCTGGATTCATTCAGGACAAAAAGAGCTATGGGGCTTAGGCAGTAACAACACAGAAAAATTCTTCAACACAAAAGGCCAGTCTTGATTTCCTGCCAGGAGTGAGGTGGCTAGAGACACAGCACAAAAAAAATGAGGCCAGGCAGTCTTCAGAAAACAGACGCTTCACAGGGAACTGAGCCAGGGCCACTACAGCTCAATGAAAAGGACTTTCCATGCCTGGATCACAGACAGGTTACCCAGTAAAAAAAAACAATTCAACTCGAATCATGCAAGCAGAAAAATGAAAAACCCTGGTTGAAGTATCAATCTGTTGAGCAGACGCGCCATGACAGTTATATAAAAAGAGAATGTGTGACAGCAGCCAAGAAATGCTGTCTGGCACTGTCATCATAGCAGACATTCAGAGAAGAATATTATTGACAAATAGTGAGTAGATTATTTAGAATACACATTGTTTAGTTATTGCAGAAGATATTTCTTTCAGAACAAATTATTATTATCAGCTCGACGTGATAAAAACCCTTACCATCGCAAGTAAACGTTACAGGCTGTTGAGAATCAGAAATCTCAATGGACACTTTCACACTGCCCCCATTGTCCCCTCCTGCATCCCTCTGCGTGATCACAGGGCTGAGAACATAGCCAGGGTTGGTAGACAGGTCATCGTGTGGGAACTTTGACCTCAGTCTGCAAAAAAAAAAAAAAAAAACAGCACTGTTAAACATAGGTAAATGATGTGTACTACAAGGTTCAGTCCTTGTACAAGCTCTCTTTGTGTACTAATTTTAGAAAACAAGTCTTTAGCTTCTGCCACTAAAGGGGCATCTGTAGACTTCCTGCATTTCACATTGGTAGTATTAACTTTGCTGGGCAGCTTGCTGAAAACAATGAGGTATACATTTCAGGATTTCTGGCATTTCCTAAATTAGTCCATCAGGTGCAGATTAGTCTTGCTTCCCCTACAGAAAATAACATTAAAATGCTGATTCTGGTATCCTGGGACCTTCTGATGTTAAATATTCAACACAGCTGTAGTCCTGAGATGTGAGCTTTTTTGCTGAGGGTATCCTTTTCAACATTTCAGTCAGGTTGGGCGTACTCACACTATGCTATCCGAACCGTGCCCAGGCGCATTTCCCGGTTCATTTGACAAGTGTGATTGCTCTGAATGAGGCTCAGGCGCGGTTCAGTTGGCCTGCCCTGGCCCGGTTGGAATAGGTGTGCCAAACCACAGTTCAGTAGGGCTTTGGCGGGGTACGCTTGTAGTGGGAGTGTAAAGCATGTCTAAGCCTAAAACTGAAGATGCGTCGTCCATTTAAAGGGACTGTTTCATACAGATTTATTAATCATTCTTACTTTTCAATGAATGTGAACTGTCATAGTTTATTAAAGAAGCAAACAAGTCAAAATATTTGACTGTGGGTTATCACATCCCAAATGACTTAAAATAATACAAAACAATGTAACTAAAGTAATCTCCACTGTGCTGAGCGAGAGTGCTTCTCTCTGTTAAACAGAACAGTGCATCATCAATGACGTCAGCTCGGATGCAATGTGAGTGCAGGTCAATGGGGAAGAGGGGAGGAGGACAACCGTGCTTCGGTACAGCCTAAAGCAGGTCGCACATCAGAAGCGCCGCTGGGCGCCGCAACACGGCGCGCACATGACAGTTTAAAGTATCGCACACCAGACGCGCACATTCGAATGATATTTAACATAAAACTAATCAGATGGCGCTCTGTGGCGCGGCTGAAAAATGAACTGCGTCCTGAGCCATGGACTTGCGGCGCCGGTGTGTGTATCCTGATAGAAACCTATGTTTAGAATTCTAAAATGCATGGCGTTGCTTCTGGTGTGCGACCTGCTTCAGGCAACCATGCCTAGTGAGAGTACGGCCTTAAGCACAAAACTCGTCTTGAAGGGTATGAAACCACCCCTGTCAGGGTGTTTTTACACCTCTAGTTTGGAAAAAAGTCAGGAAAGTGGGTGAGTTCAGCATTGTTTAGGTGGCAGTGTTGAGTGTCGAAAGAGTGAAGGGTTTTTCTTAAAAAAAAAAAAGGAGTTTCATTACGTGCACGCGCTGATTTTCACAGCTGCAACAGAAACACAGACGCAGGGGAGATAGACAGTGACTATGATTACATTACATCAGTAATCAAACTATTTTCCTTGATCAGAATAAGACAGTAATATAATTAATGTGTTTATACGAGTTACTTTTTGAATATTCCGTTCATTATCTTGTTTTACATGTTGTAGTGCATAATTCAATTAATGTCACCGCGTCAATCCATATTTCCACTGGAGTTTCATGCAATTTCGGATGTTTCATTCTTAATTTGTCGACTTTAACTGCAGTTTGGCACTTTCACTTTCTTTCAGGAACATTAGCCACGTTTCCAATATCGCGCCTAAAGCGAGCGAGCCAGGGCGAGCCAAGTCCAATCGCGTTTCCACTGTCACTTCAAGGGCCTAATCGGGCCAAAGTGGGGCTTTCTAGGGGCCAGTGGCCAGCCTTTTTTGGCCTGCCGAATACCTTGGGCCAGAGATGGTGAGCTGAGTCTTCAGGGCGGAGTGAAAACAAAGGTGGAGTTTGCCCGAGTCTGTTAAAGATGACTTGCGGTCATAACAATAGTTTTCCGATTGCACACGACTACATGTGCCAAACAAATAAATTAATAAGGGAAAGAAAACATATAGCTGGTCAGTTTAAGATAGGCTATTCCATAAAACACCTTATGGGATAGGGGTCTTTTTGCTTATGATCGCCCTTATGTTTCCCTTTTAAATGTAAGGCTGTTGCATAAAAAGTTTTAATTTGACATTTCTTTGCTGCGTCCTCCTTGATGTTTCAGTAACGCATAATAATCTTTACAAAATATAAAAGACACAGCAGCCAGTAAAGGTTGTCGAGAGCTTCTGTCAAGTTTAGAAGGTGTGTTTGTGCGTGATCCGTGTGCATTGTAAGACCTGTGTGTGTGTGTGTGTGTGTGTGTGTGTGAGGCCGGGTTAAAGAGCGCTCGCTTGACAGCTCTATTGATGTCTTGACCGGCTATTTTTTTTTATTTTTTTATTTTGGAGATAAAACAAAATATGAATACAACAGAAAGCCATAAAACTTTTACACATGTGTCCACTTTTGACGGCACAAAACAATGATGTCATATTTTGATAAAATAGCCCAAGCTATATTGAAATAATTTAAAGAATTACAAATATCGGATATAATAAAATCACATTAAATAAATAAATTTATATAAAAGAAACAAAAGCTAGCTATAACAATGTACATATATACAGTCGGTTGGTGAGTAAAGGAAAATAATCAATGGAAACACACAGGCCCGTGCGTATAGACATATAATGTAATGCTGTACAGTAACGTGTCATTTGTTAGTTTCGGTTGTCTTTATATTAATGGTTTCATGATAATGCGATGGTGTGCTTTATCTGTCTGCCTGATTCCCGATGCACTGGGCGGGTTGTGTGACGTTTGATTCGGGGATGTACTGGGGGCAGGTTTTGCGGGACGGACTGCGAGCTACTAGCCCGACAGTGAAAACGCGACATGATTTCGGCCTCCCGGGGGATTGCCCCGGCCCGGCAAAAGCCCTGGCTCGATAGTGGAAATGTGGCTATTGTATGCATGCCCCTACATGACAAACAAGATATTGGTTAGGAGGAACTGCTGGAAGAGTGTAATGTGTTTTAATGGATTTTTTTATACCACACGCTTTATGCGGGAAAAAAACCCTCTGCATTTATTGGTAGATTCAGAGACCATGTAGGTGCTGAGAATAGCGTCAAATAGTTGTATGTATATAGACTATCTTGTCACAAAATGCGGCGAAAATTATACGCGGCAAAAATCCTACATGACGGTAATAGTTTGATTAACGCGTTTACGTTCTGGAAGCAGTATTTACAACTGAACAGGATCTGTTAGTCCATAACATTGTAGTGATATTAACTTAATGTCAACTTAGTAACTACTGTAAATCATTTTGACTTGGGAATGTCTTTAAAAACTGAAAGAGTACTGCTGACAATACTAACTAACTTTGCCATCTGGAGAAACAGAAACAAAGAACATTGACCACATACTGTACTTACCAAATCCATAAACACTAACTGGAACCTGTCTTTTTTTTTTTTAAAGACATAGATTGGCAAATCCAGATTTCTCTATATCCAGATCCGAAAAGCTCTCGGATAAAAAAAGTTTACAAGCGTATTTTTTCACTTATTAACAGACCACTATAATCCTCAAATGTGGGTCCTCACGGCAGCTCATCGCGGGAAAATGGAAACAAAACCTTTGTTGCAGCACATTTATAAACGCAACACTGACGACCCATGTCTCCAAGCAATTCTTCTTCTTTTACTTGTTTTAATTAGGGTTGGCAACACACCATGGCATCTCTCTGAACACTGTAACAGGTAAAAATTGCCTTTACAGCTGTATCATGCACATTAATGAAGTTGCATCTCATTCACAATAGAATGCGCTGATTGGTTTGAACCAAGTTTTTCTCATGAATTAATGCTGAAAACTCATACACGTCACGTTGTACTGGGAAAAACGGGAGTGTTGGCAGGTGGACATCCAGTCTCCATGCTGGAATTTAAATGAGGAATTTAAATGAAAAATAAATGAGGGGGGGATGGGTTTGGGGGTAATAATTCAGAGGGGCTAATAATTCTGACTTCAACTGTATATGTATGTCAACATCTCAAAAATGTTTTTTTGGTGTTTCATGACCCTTCAAAAAAAATTTACTCACTTTGAAATGTCTTCACAGAATGCTACAACTTCTAGATTCTGGGCTTCCTTCTCCTGTAAGGCAGAGTACTTGGACAGTACATTTGTGCTTCCCTTATTGACCTGTAAAAAGACAAAGCCATAGTTATACTGCTGATCAAGCATTCTTCCTACCATGCTATACATTTACTTTTACTGAGGGTGTCACTTAGATCCCTTCTACAATATTGTTTGAAAACACTCCATTTTATACACAAAGGTATGAAATATTAGTGATTGATGACATTAACACCCCAGTTCAAATGTGGAACGAGACAGTCTCTCTGTTTGGTGAGAGGACACAGAGTATGTGAAGAATGTCTGGAATGCCAAAAAAAGACTTCCTTCGGGAAGGAAATCGGTCAAAAAAGCACATCACTACAAAACTACAACTAGGAAAAAATGCATTTACAGTTTAATAATGGTTCACATAGGGATTAAAATGAGAAAGTGTGTATTCTGTTAACTTGCATATATAATACAGCCTAAATAAATGTATTTTTAATATTATTTAGGGCAGACATGGCATATTTTCTTTTGGCATGGATTATGATGAGTACATCTGCCTCCAACACAATCACTATCATTTATTTAAAGTAACAACAAACAAACAAGACTGTGTGTGTCAATCCAAAACTGAAACATCACAGATAAACTGCATGTAAAACAATCAAGCATGATGGTCTCTTCAATTGTTTACTAGGCCAGGGCTCTGGGCCTAACCTTAGAGAAAAATGAGATGCCATGTGACACACATTCACAAATTATTCATCCGCTTCTGCTTCGCGCTACAGTTTTACAGTTCTGGCTGGCCTACATGCAATTTCTCCCAGTCCAAACTGACCTTTTCCTCAGGTTAAAAGTTTATAAGTGAACTGCCAAAAAACAGCGTAAAAAACACCCAGGAATGAGAGAATGAAGGAAGCTGGCTTGGATGTGCTTCGTATTCGGTTGGATTGAAATAAAATTCCACCATCATCTGTGTTTGTGTGTGATAGAATTTGCAACTTCCTCTCTGTTATTGTTGTTAAGAATGCTGATATGCATTAAGTGGAACTTCGATCTCTGACTGACCTCATGCACTTCCACTAAAGTAAATATGACTGAACTTCCGTCAGATGATTTAACTTTCCACTGAGGACAGAGTGCTTGATGGTAAATAGTGACTAAGAGGTTTGTTTATGTATCTAATTACTCACCGTTACCTTAAACAAACTTCTTTTTTGCATGAAGGATAGGCTAAGGGCAGACAGAGCTAATGGTTTGCACTGAGATGGGAGCACATTTATAAAAGACATGTATATACAACTGAAACCAAATGGTCACATAAATAAGTACATCTCACAGAAGTATTTTAGAGCTGAAGTGTGGGCTAGGGATATGAAAGTACCAACTGATAGCAGTTTTATAGAAAGCAAGAACTCAGTTCAGTGGCTGAGTAATATCTGACTGACATGATCCGAGCTCAAAATCCTCACAGGCAAATTTGGCACATTTAAAATGTGTCAGAGTTCAAAAGCACTGGATGTGCGCTTTAGGTCCTAATACACTAACAATCAGAACTGCCAGCATTTTAATGTCAATGTTATTTATGGCAAATAACAAAAGTTTGGGGTCAATCAGGTTTCTGTTATTGTAAGAAAAACACATATTTGACAAGAAAGCATTGAATTTAGTAACAGCAGATATGTATAATGTTGTAATAATAGAGAGATTTCCATGTAAAACAAAGAGTTTTGAAAACAATCTGAAAATGCAAAAATATTAAGCAGCACAATATTATATATTAATAAGAAATACACTTTTCTTCAGCACAAAGCGGCTCATACAGTATGAATGATTTCTTTTGTGTAATGTGACTTCAGTTTGATATGCAACTGCTTTTTTATTATTTGCAAAGTTTTGCACTAAATTATATTTTAAAATATTATGAATATTTAATTAATGTTGTAAACGTACTAAGATTATGTAGACCAATGCCAAACTTTTTAAACTGTGTATACATTAACTATAAAAAGTGAGTAAATTTGTTGCCTTAAAATTACACTATATGCATAATTCTAACTTTACTTGACAGCTCCAACTTAAAATAGTGAATAAAGCCATTGTAAGTAGGCAACTTGTCTCTTTTAAGGCAATGGGATTAATCATGTTTGAGCAATTCCAGCATTTTGGATGTGACATTTGCAGTAAAAAATCTAAACATAAATTCACAGAGAAAGTATATGTTAACATTATATTGAGACATCTGTTTATATTTTCCAGAACTGACCACAGAGTTAAGGGATCCAAAAAATATCAATCTGCAAGCATTTTTTTATATTTTAAATGAGGAAAATAAACGTGTGTCATGGATATGACCAAAAAAGTTAGCGAGTTTACAGTATACAACATACTTTTTAGAAATTCTGTGAATTAAACTGCACAACCCAAAAGAAACAATGATAATCATAGGGATAAGAGTTGGCTCATAATAAAACAAAACAAAAATTATTTTATTTTATTAATATTTTTGCATTCATGAGAAAAAAGCTTCATTCTGGATGTGACATCTCTCCGTTAGTGATGTGGCTGATGTGAAATTTTCACATGTGTGACTTTGGTAAATCAAATATAATAGTTTGAAAACATTGACAGATACTTTAAGCGTTTGTAAAGTATTGTAAAATACCTGTGAAAACAAAAGAGTGAAAAAGTTTTTTTTTATGGCATGGCTGACATTTGCATGGAATTGCTCATTTAAGTAACAAAATGCTTTTATTACAGTGTAAACAAATACATTAATATAAATGTGTGCATTTATTTAATTTAAACAATTAAATAATATTAAATAACTTTGAAGTAAATAGCACATAATTTTTTTATCAACTAAAGCTGTTTTTGCGACAACAATACACACCTTTGACACCAGTATTTACAAATAATGCATGAGTCATGATGCCGAATCATGATTTACCTTATTATTTTCATACCATATCGCTTCATGCAACAGAATTTATGTAATTATTTTCTTAACTAATCCCAAATACTTTTACTGCACTCCAAAAAAAAGAAACATCTTTTGGCTACAGTGTACTGTTAATACACACAACAGCAAACTGGTCTTTTAGGATGTGTGTCCTGATAAGAGTTGGAATATCCAGACTTTCTGATAAGAGTATCTGGTGTTGTGAAGCAGAGTAACTGTACACCAAAGCCAAAGCTCAGATTAGTTTCGCCTCGTTCGCACACTCCGAAAAAAGGCTACTATGGCAACAGGGAGCTGCGCGGCCCTGCTTAAGGCACGTCAGGAAGAACCCATGGGGCAAAGAGAGCTAGCTGGGACTTGTCTGTGCTAATGAGAACAGCAGCAAGACTTACTATACACACACACAAAGACAACACCCAGTTTACTATATGACTATTATGGCGGTATCAAACCTTCTTGTTGCAACTAACTGCTCAAACTTTTATCACGATATATGATCACAATATTAAGCTATACCACAAAAAAAAAGTTTCTTTTAAATTTTTTTTTTTTTTTTTGTTATTCTACCTGTTAGGATTTTTTTTTTTTTTTTTTTTTTTGCATACAGCAGGCAAAATAAGTATTGAACACCACCATTTTTCACTGAAAAGATATTTTAAAGGTGCTGTTGGCTTGACAGTTTTCTCAAATGTTGGTAACAACCAAATAAATCCATATATGCAAAAAAAAACAAATTAATTACTAAATACTAATTAGGTTAAGTGTAATAAAATGAAATTACGCAGGGAAAAAAAGCATTGAACACATGAAGAAAGGAGCTGTAGAAAGCCCAGACAGCAGCTGAAATCTCTCAGTAATTCTTCAGCAACCCTCTGCCCTTCGGGATTGTAAATGAAAATTAGCTGCTGCAGTCCAACTTCTACATTAGCAGGAGGCTGAAGATGAAGCCAGGGTGGACATTTCACGAAGACAATGATCCAAAACACAGCCAAGGAAACTCTCAAATGCTTTCAGAGTAAGAAAATCAAGCTGTAGAATGGCCCAGCCAATCACCTTACTTGAATTCAATAGGAAATATAAAATAAAGATCAGATTTTATAGACCGGACCCACAAAACCATCCAGATTTTTACACCCTGTCAGTGAAAAACTCAAACCTGAGCAATGGAAAAGCCTTCATTCTCCATATGAGATACATCTTTAAGCTGCCATGACCAAAAAAACCTTTAATATAAATTATTAAACATGTTTCAGTAGTTCAGTACAAATAACTAAATAGAATTAATCTTTAAGTTTGAAACACTATGACTTTATGGTTAAAATCAACTTAAAATCTTATACAGCCACAGTTCTTAAAAACACATTCAAATGGAAATCTTCCAGTCTATTAGGATTACACTTTATGACAATGTTTATGACAAGCACATGTTCTGAACTGTGGTGGCTGGTAATTTTAATATAATCCCATTCCATATTGCTCCATATTGCAAATACTGTGATGTGACGACTAAAATGTATTGTACAGCCCTAATATTGATGTTTTGGATGTTCGTGTCCATATACTGTAGGACAGCATAGCAGACACTTTAATATATCTGATGTCTGATAATTATATTCTTCAAACATGAAAGAGGAAGTGCAAAGACTAAAGCCCTTTCACCACCTTTGATGTTGTTTTATCCTTTAGTGAAAGTTACAGGCACAAAATCTTCAAGTTCTGTGGGAAATATGTGACAACAGCCAATTGTCCTGGTCAAAAACAAACATAATGAAACAGGAAGTGGGATTTCTGGGAAAAAAGGAGCACATTTACACACCCTCCCCAAAAGGAATCGAAGTCTCACTCAATGTACATTCCTCTCAGGAAGTCATTCTTTATTTTGGCAATCTGAGACAACATTTCTGAGGAAAGACCAATGATAATGCAAGTGGTTTTGATAAAACCTTGGTAAAACGAAAGAGACTAAGCACCCGTTTAACTTCCCTACACTGTGATAAGCAGCCAGCTATGAGGAACAGAACACAAATGAAAAGATGCATATCGCCTCAGCTAAAATATCATGCAAAAAAGTTCACCACAACAGCATGGTAGAATAATTATAAAACCATATGCACCC